ATCTTCCCCCAGAAGCTCTGCGTCTGAACCACTTTCATTTTCTGAGGCACTGGACTCCTCGTTCCACCTGGCCTTCCACTTCTGTCAGAATGAGGTTTGGGGTTGTGCTTAGAATTAACTGGGTTAGCCTCACCTCTGTATTTTTAGTTGCCTAATCAATGCGAGGAGGAAAAAGGCTTTGGGTATTTTCCTTATGCCAAGAGAACCAACAGGCTTTTATGCTGGTTGAGTTCATTCTGTCAGCCTCGGCGAGGTCTTCACTGGCTCATTATCACAAGGCTGGTGAACTAGCTTAACCTCGGATGACAAACAGTTTACGACATCAAGTGAAGACGCATGATTCTCGGCTGCAGCTCTCTACCGTGTAGAATGCCGTCCTACAGGACCAACATTCACGGTCTCCAGGTTATGAATCAACAGCTCACCTATAAAAACACACCTCTGAGTGTTGCAGGAGTGCTCTTTGCCCTTCTTAGTAAACAAGGAGAAACCTAACTTTATGATCACAAGGCAGAGAATCGTTCTAGATCTACCTTTCCTGGGAACAGGTGTGTAAACATTCTCTTCCCTTCCTCTGTATGTTTTCAAACAGAGGGGAATGACTAACCTGGTGCTATGTGAAGTTAGAAGAACCTTCTGTCGCAATGTAAGTTTCTCGTTGAGCACCACTGAAATCCTGATGGTCTCAGCTACCATTTATTTTATTTATTTTAAGATTTTATTTACTTATTTGACACAGAGAGATCACAAGTAGGCAGAGAGAGCGGGGGGGGGAAGCAGGCTCCCTGCTGAGCAGAGAGCCCAACACGGGGCTTGATCCCAGGACCCCTGAGATCATGACCTGAGCCGAAGGCAGAGGCTTAACCCACTGAGCTACCCAGGCACCCCTCAGCTACCATTTTAAACGAGGGCGAATCCAAACATTTGGAAGTGAAGATCATTTTATTTCATGCTTTATACCGCCCCTGGGACATCATTCCTCCAGGAAGCCTTCCCTGACACCCTAGGAAGTTGGAATTGCCTCCTGTACTCCCCCAACATCTACTTACTTGTAGATGTAGATTGTCCTTGTCTGTTTCCCAATTTTGAATACCCCAGTAGACTGGACACTTCTGAGAGCAGAAACTAAGTTTCTCTTTTTCTCAGTTTAATAACCAGGGCCCAATACAAAAGCCAGCCTCCAAGGGCACAGAATAAACATTTGTTGAGCAAATGATTAAAAATATAAATGAACAAAAAACTCAACATCATAATAGGGCATTAAATAGTTCATATACCTTAAATCTCAGCAACCATTCACTATTATTTATTAAGATGTTCATTAAACATTGAACATCGAAAATGTTTAATTAAAAAGTTAAACGTTGAGCTCTGTTCCAAAGTCGCCTTCTCAAAGATGCCTTCTTGAAATATCCTATCTGAATTTGTACCTGAGTCGGTTGCCCTCTCTAACCCTCCTGCCTTTCCTGGTGCTCATAGAACCACTTGACGCGTACATCATCTGTCTTCCTGTTCTGCAAGATCTCTGTGAGAACAGAGATCTCAGTTTCTACCATTGTATCCTCAGTGCCTAGAACAATGCCTCGCATACGGTAGCAGTAAATGAAAAAACCTCTTTAAAACAAATATATGTTAGGGGCGCCTGGGTGGCTCAGTGGGCTAAGCCTCTACCTTTGGCTCAGGTCATGACCTTGGGGTCTTGGAATCAAGTCCTGAGTCGGGCTCTCTGTTCAGCGGGGAGCCTGCTTCCTCCCCTCTCTCTCTGCCTGCCTCTCTGCCTACTCGTGATCTCTGTCTGTCAAATAAATAAATAAAATCTTAAAAAAAAAACAAATATAGGTTATTAAAGACTAATGTTAGTGGAGAGTATTTATTGGGGTAAGGATCGAGTTAATTAATTTTTTTTTATATTTTATTTATTTATTTGACAGAGAGAGAGAGAGAGAGATCACAAGCAGGCAGAGAGGCAGGCAGAGAGAGAGGGGGAAGCAGGCTCTCTGCTGAGATCCCAGGACCCTGAGATCACGACCCGAGCCGAAGGCAGAGGCTTAATCCACTGAGCCACCCAGGCGCCCCTAATTAATTTTTTTTAATGAGGAGAACACTGGATATTCTCTGAAGTCCTGTGCTTTTAAACCCATTTGACCAAAGCCCACAGTAGGGATGAACTTCACATAGTGACTTTGAGCATTACATGAAATAATATTTACCTTTATTACATGTGATATTCTTTTCTTGTTTTTTTTTTTTTCTTTTCTTTGCCCCTCCATTCTATTTCATTTAAAAAAAAAAAAAAAAAAGCCAGTCTGACCCACTTAACTGATTTCCTAACCCACTCACTGTTTGAAAAACATCGATCTTTTACCTAATTAAATACCTGACTCATGAAAATAAAATAATGACTGCCTTCCCTATGGCACTTCAGGTTTGTCCTGATAGCTCTGTTGATTGCTGAAAACAGACCAAGATCTAGTTCCAGCTTATTAAGTAAGCTTATTTTTTTTAGGTCTGTTGGACACATTTTTTTTTCCCCTAAATAATTTTATTTACTTGGTGTTGTCCAAAAGATAATTTTATGCTGTATAAATAAAATGTCTTAATATTCTAACATACTAATTAAAATTTCTTCTTGGGTGTATTTCGAGGAGGGAGGAAAGGAAATGTAAAAGTCATTATACGTGAAGTGTCAAGTGTAGATGAGAAATGTCATTGGCAATGAATGGTTACAATAAATTTGTAGGGTATATAGTTCCTTAGATATCTTAAATATTTTCTTTATTTTAGGGGCACCTGGATGGCACAGTTGGTTAAGTGTCAGCTCTTGGTCTAGGCTGAGGTTGTGTTCTCAGGGTCTTGAGATCTAGCTCACCCCTGTGCTCAGCTCAAAGTCTGCTTAGGACTCCTTTCTTTTTCTTTCCCTCTGCCCCTCCCCCCTGCACTTTCTCTGTCTCTCCCAAATAAATAAATAAAAATTTTAAAAAGTTTGTTTTTGGGATACCTGGGTGGCTCAGTGGGTTAAGCAGCTGCTTTCAGCTTGGGTCATGATCCTAGGATCCTGGGATCGAGTTCTGCGTGGGCCTCCTTGCTCAGCAGAGAGCCTACTTCTCCCTCTGCCCGCCACTCCCTGCTTGTGCTCACTCTCTCTCTGACTTAAAACATTAATGGGGCGCCTGGGTGGCTTAGTTGGTTAAGCAGCTGCCTTCGGCTCAGGTCATGATCCCAGGGTCCTGGGATCGAGCCCCGAATCAGGCTCCCTGCTCAGCAGAGAGCCTGCTTCTCTCTCTCTCCCTCCAACTGCTGTTCTGCTTACTTGTGCTCTCTCTCTGTCATATAAACAAATAAAATCTTAAAAAAAAATTAAAATTTTTTAAATTCAATTTATAAGATAAGACCTTAGATAGAAGAAATTTTTAGGCTGAGTTTTGATATGAGATTATATAATAATATATTCTTTAGGAGTGAAAAAAGTTGTGTCAAAGTAATCATCTCTCAGAAGGAAATGGTCCAGGCAGAAAGCATTTGCAACAATACATGAAAGAGGAAATACAAAGACTAACATATGGAGAAGTGTTTAACTTCACGGGAAAGAAAAGAAAGACACTAAAACAATAGTGAAAACTGTTAACTTATCAAAAGAGCAATTTTTTTTTTTAATTTTGTATTTACTCATTTTTTAAAATGAGATTTCTCATATGAGTCAGGGTAAAGGAAGTAGTCATTCATACATTGTGGGCAGGAATGAAAATTGCTCTAACCCTTTTAAAAAATAATTTTGGGATGTAGCTTTAAACATGTTTATTAAGGTAATTCTATGAACCTACCCCAAAGGTATCATCTGAAATTTGGAAAAGGTCTTGTATCATAAAGGTAGTAATCATAGTGTTACTTATAATAGCAAAAAATTGGAAGTGAGGTTTAAGCTAAAGACAAATGGACTACGACCTCTGTTAATATATTGGCACTTACCTGTCCGTACATTTTTTTCTCTGCATCTATATGCATATATTTTTGTTGTTGTCCTTTCAAAATGGGGCAATTCTAGTAAGTTTTTAGTTGCCTATATATGGTCAACACCTTTCCAGGCAAATATACAGTTCTACCACGTTATATTTAACAGCTGCATATATTCTGTATGATCATACTGACATATATTTCACCAAATTGTCCATTTTCGATATCTATAAACCAATGTTTTTCATACAGTAGTCCATGATTCTTACTAGGTCATGAAATAAATTTAGGGGATCATGACTAGCAGTCTTATTTATTATACTTTAAATAATATATCTTTATAATATGTTTTTGTAAATAATTGATAGGACAAACCCTTCCTTAACCACATTCTCCTGTTTTTCTAAATTATATTGGTTACTCTCGTAAGTTCAGTCTAAAAAGCTGAGGTTTGAAATCACTTTGAATAGGTCCGAGAAAAATACTATGGAAAATTCCACACTAAATTTCCAAATTAATTTGGAAACTGATGCCTTTATAATAATGAATATTCCATTCATAAATAAGTGCATCTCTTCCTTGATTTATTTTCTTTTATGTCTCTGAGTAAAGTTGTAGGGGATTCTTCATACAGGCCCTCATATTTCTTGTTACATTTATTCATCGGTGTTTAAAATTTAGTTTTACTATTGCAAAAATATTTCCATTATTCTTTTTTCCAACCGAACACAGCCATCTGTAGGGAAGATACCAGTTTGTTTATACCCTTATTTTGTAACAGAGCATACTGACTTCCAAAAATATTTTCGCACTCAAGTTGTGTAAGTGGCATGAGAATGAGTGCTCTGAAATGTAACTGAAAATTTGCTCCTGTCCCTCTTCCTTCCTCAATCACATTTTTGAGTCATTTTCATCTCATTAAAATAAGTGGCTGGCCCGTGAAAACAAAAATAAGAGTGGAAGGACAGCTGTACCACCAAATCTCTTTCTTGAAAAAGCAGAGTGAATTCCCCAGTAAACATGATTAAATAGCACGTAACAGGACCCACCTGGGGTGGCTTTATCCGTCCCCTTTGTCAGCAGCTGCACGCTCTCACCGAACAGGAAGAACATAAAGGGCACCGTGGGTAGTTAGAACCCGTGCCTGCATTTTGACACTAGTTGTTATATATATTAATATCGAGTGCTACTATTATCCTCATTTCCCAAATGAGAACAATAGGCCCAGAGGGGTTAAATCCTTCATTCACTCCTTCACCGAGCGTGTCTCGAGCACCTACTATGCACAGGGCCCTCCTGTATGGCTGCGAGCTACAGGAAGTGCTCACCCCCGTGGAAGTTACACTTTAACGGGGCAGGCATGTGTCAATAAACAGGTACCTTGTTCAAGGCCATACAGCTGAATTATAAATCTGGCTGCAGCCACCTGTGGGCTTGACCCCTACCTTGCATCCCATGAGGAGAGACGAGAACGTGGGCCCGGAGAAGGTCATCTACCATCTCCTGTGAAGCCTTCAAGCCGGCACGACCTGGGTGAGCTGACCACAGCCCAGGCTATGATCTCATTCATTGTACAGGTTCCAGGCAGGGAGAGAATATTGATCTCCCAGAGACAGCTGATTATTATTATTTTTTTTTAAATCAGGCTTTGGATACCACTTTATGTGTTCACCTTTCCCGACCTTGGCAGTCTCCCTGCCCAACACAGAGTTCTTGCCTTCACAGCCTTACTAGCTCAAATGCCAATCAAACTGGAGGTACTGGCGACTGGTAAGAGGTACTGGCGACTGGTTAGAGCTACTGATTTTAGCAGGGACCGATAATGAGGCTGCTGTTGGGTTTTCACACACTAGTAGACCGGAGTACAGAGAAATAGTTGAGAGTAGTTAGGCAAAAACTTTCAATATCATTCATAATTACCCTTAAAAATAGGGCCTTGGATTGAGGGCTATCACCTGAAACCACATAAATTAACTTACTCTTATAAGTATTTTAACAGAGAGTAACTTTTAATAAAATTTTAATAAAATATTTAATATTAATTTTTTAATAAAATAAATAATAAAATTTTAATAAAATTCCATTTACCAGCCCCTGTTATTCCTTCAGTAATGAAACTAAGGCTCTTCTTGCCTTATAAACATATAGATTTGATGCATGATACTTCCCAACTATGCACAGTGAATCTCCATTTACTATTTTTAGGATTTGTCTAGATTTTAATTTTTTACAAAAATATTTATATTATTTAACTCCTTTGAAATCTTTGGTGTTAAGGAGACTTTTGTCTAAATCCAGGATTTATTTGAGAGCCCTAGAAAATTTCTGAAGGCTCTTAGTTGCTTTTATTCAACACGGTTAGTAGTTTCAATACAGGAAACAAATATTTTCTCTATTAATTTAGCTTGATGTCAGATATCCTCGGTCCCTTTGAAAAGCACTTTCAATTTTCAGCTATAATTCAAAGATAATTTGTGAGTTTCATTGTTGCCATTATTCCTGTTGGATCTGTGAAAGCTGGGGAGGAAAGAAGAAATCCAAAGGAGAAACCCCCAGACGTCGCGTAGCCTTTCTATTAACACAGCACAGAAGTGCGGCTGATTACTCTGAAGGCTCTGTAATTAAGTGGTTGGCATAAATCTAGTGAGCACGCTTGCTATGGAAAACTTTACACGCTTTTTTTTTTTTTTAGTACATCATGTGAAATCCTTGCGAACACAAGGACCCTTTATTTATTGACAAAGGCAATAGTGCCTCTAGACAAGCAGCTCTCTTGTCTTTCTCAAAAATAAGAAAGAGAATCTGTTCCATATTTTGGTGCAGAGTAACCAGAATGAAAACTACGTATTGTGGGTTATTTCTCCTTTATTTTGTGAATGCTTTCCATCTACCAGTGCAAATTGTTTATGTAAACTAGCTTGTGCTTTCTGCCAACGACCTGAAAAACAGAAATATGCTTAAGTCGTTCGGGGTCAAGCATTACCTTACCCACCACACTGAGCCAAGTATTAATTTACCGGCCCTTGGGAATTTGAGATGAAATAAACTGGTGGAATGTTTTTTCCCTTTATCTGCATTCCTGGGTGGGCAATTGTGTATTCATCTCACAACATGGATGGAATGTCTTTGTGTGCGAGGCTGTGTGCTAGGCACATAAATAAGACAGGATTGTAAGGGAGCCGGACAGGTAAATAATTACAAGGCTGGGAGACTCGTGTTCTAATCAGGGACACCTGGCAGCCACAAGGGACTCCCTTAATCCAGAGACCTGGCAAAAGATGAGAAGATACAAATCATAGCCAAACAATCCACTGATTTAAAATCTTTACTGATTGCAGTCATCCCTGCACAGCCCCATACCGTTTATTGCCTGTAGGCAAAGGTGGCCAAAGGCCGTAATGGGGTATTTTAGGGAGGGTCTCTGATGCAGGCAATTTCTATTTTAAAAGAAGCCTTCTTGGCGCTACCTTCCAGGCCTTCCATCATTTGGTCCAAGTCTTAGGATGGACCCCAGGATCCCTGTCTTCAGAGACCGCAGTGGGTTTACCATGAATCTCCAATAAACATTTATTGAGTGCCAACTCAAGAGTTTTTGGCGTCTATGTCGCATGCTTGAAGAGTCCCTCACTAACAGAGGGAATTCAGGGCAAAGCTAGTAAAGCTTCTATTTCGGAGCCCCTCACCTGCCATGGCCTTTTCTAAGTCCTTGGGCGGGGCGGGGAGGCGGGGGGGGGGGGCGTCCTAGGGATCTATTCACGTGCTTGTGTGTTTATGTAAACGTTGCAAATAAAATATTGCGGCAACCATCAGCTAAAATACAAGTCGAATCTTTCTTTTTACTCTGGTTATCCCTTCCCCAGGCTTCCCCATGTCAGGTGGTATTGGAGAGGCTGAGGGCATTTTGGGGAGCTGCCTAAGGGGAAGCTGATTTACCATCCTGGAAAAACTTCATCCCTCTCGGCCAATCACCTATCATGGTCGTATGCGGGCAGCTCACTAAGAACAAATCCACGACACCCAGCAACCACCAGATGAGGCTGGCAGGGGACAAGAATGAGTTTAACACGTGTGGTGTCTGCAGCTAGCCGTGGTACATCTTCCCAAAGCTCACGGCTCATTTAGGAAAGACACATTAATAGAGGCTTTTCCAAACCTGACAATAATCCTAAAAAGTCACATGATTTCAACAAATACTGACTTCTGGAGCTCAAAGAAACTTAAAAAAAAAAAACCAGTAACAGTAAAACAGTAACAACGAAAAATGTTTTTTTTTTTTGTCTACCATTTTAAGGGAAATATCAAATTATCTTTATACTCTTAAACGATGGTATGTTACCAAACCATTATGACATGAGGACAACATAAAAAAAAATACAGCCAAAATATGTAGGAAAAGGTATTGTAGGGCTGTGTCAGGGAGTTTATATAAATATCATGGGTCTTTTTCCCCCCTCCTGGATTTTGTGATGTTTGAAGCATTTGTTAGCTTTTATTATTTGTAATTTGTCCTCATTTCTCATTTGAATAAATCTTCGTGTTTGTCCTAGTTTTGTTTTCATGACTTTACATATTTTTCTACTCTGAAAGAGGCCCCCAAATTGTAAGCTCCAGGTTCCACAAACTCTGAATCCAGCTCTGGTTCGTGGCCACGCCGTCACAGTCTCCCTCATACCCCTGAATGCTCCTTTCCTCCTCACATCTCCCGCTTTGTGACTTTTCCCCTTGGAGCACATGAGGGTGTTGTTGAGGACCTGGCCAGAGAGTCTTGACCAAGCCATTGCGCCCGCAGATGCCACCTCTGTGACAACTTGTGACAGTTCTGCAGTGTCTTACTTGACTGAGGAACCACTTCACTTCACCAGGGTTGGCCGAGGACAGAGAGAGACAGGGGTACAAATGCTCCATCTTCTTACCTCAAAGTACAACTCTGAAGGTGTGGTCTGTGGGCCAGAGTCCCCACGGACCTGGCCGAGGGGAGATCCTACCTCACACTCCCGCTCAGCCTCTTGCCTTTCCTGCTCCCAGGTCCCTCACCTTTTACAGGTTTTTCCCGAATTAATCATGAGCCTCCAAATCAAGTGCTCACTGCATTTCTTGGCTGTGAGAGTCTCCGTCTCTCCTCCTCATTGGAATATAAGGTCAAGAGAGCATGAACTTGATCTGTCTTGCTCCCTGCTGCCTTTCTGTTGCCTGGTGCTTGGCAGGTAATAATTACAATAATAGGGGATGACATGAATAAACAGTGAATGAATATATAAATTCCAGTCACTCCACACATATTTCTCTAATCCTCATGGCAACCCGAGAGGTAGATGTTTCTTTTGATTTACAAATGGGGAAGTGAGACAGACTTTGGTTAAGTGGCTTCCTCAAAGTAAACCCCTAAGGGGGGGTCTCAAGTCTCTGAGCCCAGCTGGCTCTCTGCAAGCCCCATCTTCTGACCTCAAAGGAAGGGATCTACAGTTTCCCTGGATCACTGTGACCCAGGTGTGGGTGTGGACCCCTCCCTGATCAGGCCCAGGACAGGCTGTACAGATGACAAAAGGCTATGTGTTACAGAGAATGATTCAGGGAAACTACAGCGAGGACCTAACCCGAGGTCTTCTCCGCACAATCCCTGCCTGCCTGCCCACGGTCATTGGCCTGTGACAAGGAACAGCTCCCACCCCAACAGAAGTGCTCCAGGAAATTCTGTAACAGAGACTGGAATGAGTGTGGACCAGATGTGGAGCCAAGAAAATATCCCTCCTCCCCCTGCCATGCATACCCCTCCCCCAGTCCATTCCCCATACTGGTCTCTTCCCAGAGCAGCTCACTATCTGACTAGGAGACACTCCCTTCAGGGGACAGCCCTGCTCACCTCCATGGGACCAGCAAGATATGTTCATAATATCTGACAATATATTTCCAAAATTGACGTTACTTACTCTTTATTATTCTTGAATTGTTTGAGATATAATAGACATATAACATTGTATAGGTTGAAGGTATGCAAGGTATTGGTTTGATACGTTTATATATTGCAATGTGATTGCCATCTTATCATTAGCTAGCTCCTCTATCACATCGCATAATTATCAATCCTTTTT